CACATGCTCACCAACCCCAGTAAGACAGCCAGTGAGCCTGTGCAGAGTAGGCAGGCGTGGGTCAGGTGGGGAATGACTGGGCTTCTTAATCCGCATAACAGGCTGATCCTCAGTGTTGCTGAGTTGCCATTTTCTGATTCTCTGCTTTTAAAGATTATTTTATACTTTAAAGTACACATTTTTCTTTTTGTATTCTTGCTCTGCTGCTGTTACATTTTAAGAAAATTCTTCTCTCTGTGCTTTCACTTTTCTCATTTTGCTTAGCTTTATCTTGAGAATTTCCTGATATTTAAGTAATTTTCTCATTAAAACTAAGTCAAGACCACAGACCTGTGCCACACCAAACCAAGCTTTGAATCCCAGACAGCTGAACCCTTGGGCCAAGGGCTGCCCTTAGTCTGATGTAGCAACCAAATTTTCTCAAGTCGTGAATTCTGACCCACCCTTCTCATGGTCCATTCTATGTCACTGCCCAGATTCATCCTTTGTGCTAGGCAAATATCCATTCTGACCACTTGGGACAACTTTAATATGTTTTTTTTTGGCAGCTTGAGTTGTAGCGTATAGCAGCAACAGAAACACCACAAGGTGGGGTGAACAGTGTGTACTGGACTGCGAGAAAGAGTGAGGGAAAGCAGGGACCATAACACCTCGCTAAACATAGGCAGTCATTGTGATCCTGATAGGAATGTGTATTTTACCAGAAAAATAATGAATAAAAGCAGAGTAAAGGCATCAGAAATGGGACTAAATATATTACTCTATTGAATAAACAGCATCCTTTAATTTTATAGTACTGCTGAAAAAGCAATCAGTATTTCATGTTGAGTTTCGCTCTTTGTAATCTCTCCTTGAAGGATTTTTTTCTCTTAACACATTTTCCATTGGTTTCTCAGGGTAGACTTCCTAGACTGTAACTGCCAATATACTTTCTTTTTTCATTCATAGGCAGAAGATGTTTGAAATGATAGGGAAACTGTTTTGTTTTAAAGTATGCACAGATAAACAAACTCACAAACCGAGAGACCAACAAAAGGATTCCTCTTTTGCCCTCCCTGTAATCCCAGTAGTTCTTGCTCTTGCTTGTGTTCCTTCCACCTATGGGCTTCAGTCTATTGCCTGGGCTAATTTAAACCTAAACCATACCATCAAATAATTCTCTTGGCTGGACATGCAAGCCCATGGATCTGGGCTTTAAAAAAATGAAATTGCAGAGGAAAAGAAATTTGGGTTTGGAACAAATTCAGAACAAAGCAAATGCTTTGGAAAAAATAGGCAGGAAAGCTTACTGAGACTTTTGAGAGCCACACAGATCATACTGGCTCTAAATATCAATTTTTCCCACTTCAGTGCTCTACTGAAAACAAGAAATACTATGAAGTCCTTGGTGACTAGACCTATCACATCTTGTACAATATTTATAACACATTTGTAGTTATATATGTGTTTATATGTATGAATTTATATCTATTTTTTAAAGTTTTTAGCACCTTTTTGTTATATTTACCTATACGTGTTGATTTCTGTGCCCAGGAACTCTCTCTTGAACTCACCAAAATGTTTGTCTCAATTTTTTTTCTCCATCTGGTTACTAGCTACACTGTCCCTAAGATGTACACACTAACTTCTATTATTTTTTCATTGAGAAAAGAAACTAATACAAAAACAGACCTTATATGTCTATCGGTCCTGTTCATGACATTCTGAAGGATATGTGTGCTCGTGTATCAAGGGAAAAAATGTATATTTTACCTATATGGGGAGTCTCACTGATTGCTGAACTTCTCTTCTGTTTCCACAGTTCCAGAGTTCAGCAGTTTAAATGAAGGCTGGATTGAAATTACAGCAGATCCAGTAGTGCAAGAGGCAGAGTAGCCTAAGGATAATTCCTTTTAAGCTGTTTTTAATTTCAATGTTTTAACATATTATAATATTTTAAAAATCAGTTCATCACATTAATTTTAATGAAAGCAGCAGAAATTCTCATTAAAATATTAATCTTAACTACAACACAGTGTGTCAGGAGGTAAAATGCTTCTGCACACCAGGATGTGTGCATCACACTGTGATGCAGAGGTCCTAAACATATACGTACCTGTGGGGTGATTTGTGGTTCAAAGCATCAAGGGATCAGGGAGAAGGCATTTGGCTCATGCAGGTTCAGACCATCAGCTTCCTTAGACATTTATAATACATTTTGGAAGCAAATTGTTTAAGATTCAGACTTGGGCAACGCTGTGTGGGAGCAGCACAGGGTCAAAAAACCAGCAGCATAAACTGGAAAGTGATGATTCTTCCCTGTGCACTGGGGAACGCAGCTGGTAATTCTGCCTGCACTCACCAGCTGGCATGGACGCTGCCTGGCCAAATGAGCTATCAGTGTTGCACAGCAGGGGAGAATCACTGTGCATGTTGATCACTGTGGGTGCTGACACAAATGTGATTAATGCCTGGAGTATTTCACAAAACCTAAGTGTCTATGCGGTGGCAAAATGTGACCAAGGTGAAGAGCATGGGAGCATTTGTTCCCAACGATGCTGACACTTGTTCTCAGTTATCTGAAATACATGGAGCTGGATTTACAGGAGTAAAAATGAGAATCACAACAAACACTTTGCAACAAAAATACAGCTTTATTTAATTTCAACATTTATATTATTTCTAAAGAAAATATGCTGTGTTATACTGGGCGTATCTTAAACCAGCAAGCACTCCAGGAAACAATATTTCAATACGGCACATTCATGTGTGTATCTCTGGGGTTAATTAAGCTAGTAGAGAAGATTATCTCTTGAAAGAAAATTTGATTGTTATTACTGCTTTGCAATTAGCATATTGGAAGCAATTTTATTCTTTTAAATAGTACTTTAAATAACATTTGTGCCATGGATTCCTTCTCATTATAGAAACAGGCTTCAAAATACGGTTTTAGCTCTTGATCCTAATTTCGGGCTGCAAAAGAAGAGTTGTGAACACAAGCTGTCAAAAACACAGATTAGTAAACTGCATAACATGCACTGAAGACACTTAGTTTTCCTAATTTATACAACCTGGTGATCTGGCTAACAAATGTAACTCTATATCACAGGAAAAAAGCCGTCAATATATATCGAGCCACATCATTTGTGCTGTAGCTGTGGGAGAAGATGACAGCTGGTCATCAGCTAAACCTACCTTGTGACATGCTTGCCTGTATTTGCAGCAGCCTGAGGTAAACTGTTTTAGCACTTAAATTTCCACATAGCTGCAACTGTCCAAATTCTAAAGGAAATCTCTCTCCCTGAAATTCAGGCCCATTTCTTTTTCTCCTGCTCTCATGCAGGATGGAGACATAGAACCTGCTGTGCCTCTACTCTGTCCTCATTTCTTTTCTTCTGTGTGAAGACACTGAAATCTTTACATCTTTTTTAAATCTACCATGTGTTTCCCAAATGCCTGGCAACTGATTCTTCACTAACACTGAACAGAGACAAGTAATTACCTCCACCATATTATAAGCACTCCCTTTAACATCTCCCTGGAATGGCGTTTTTCATAAGAGCATTGCCTCTCCAACTCCGATTCAGATTATGGTCCCCTGTAATGCACAGGTTCTGTCCTGCAGTGTTATTGTCATTCCTTTTCTGTCTGTGCTTTTCATATTTCTTCACATCTGTCTTCAGTGAATTTTGCCATATTGATTTTAAGCCATTCCTCTAATTTAAGTGACATTTTTTGAATTCTAATCCTGCCTTCCAAGCAGCTTGCAAGTCCTCCCAAATGGGCATTATCTGTAAATTCGGTAAGCTTACTGCACATGTGATTGAGCAAATAATAAATGGCAATGTTTTATAGTGCTAGAGCTAGAAAACACATTGTGGAAGCGTGTATGAGATGTTCTCCTACTTTGGCAGCAAATGATTGTTCTCAGAGTTCAGCTTTCCAATCAGCTGGACATCTCCCTTCTGTGAATTTAATTTAGTCCGTATCTGCTTTGCTTGCTTATGAATGCCATGTGGGACTGTGTCAAAGATACGCTGTATCAAACACATCCCCTATATCTGTTTTGCTGTCAAAGAAGGAAATGAGATCAATTTGATAGGACTTGTTTCTGACGTGTCCCTGTGCAAGTCCTCTTATCTCCTTATCATTCTCTAGATGCCTACACATGGGTTGTTTAATACTTTGTTCCAGTCTCTTGGAAATGCTATTAGGGTTTACTGTTCTGTAACTCTTTAGATTTTCCTTTCCTCCTTTGTTAGATATGACATTGTGTTTGCCTTTCTCCAGTTGTCTGGCAACCGACTTATTCTGCTAATCTCTCATGTTTGAGAAATTGCTTTGATTAAGTATTTTAAGGGTAAGTTTCATTAGCCTCCAATTTACTTCAGTATTCCTTCAGGTGTTCATTTCATTTTCTCTCCAATATCCTACTCCAAAATTCTTGATAATAACTGAAATAAACTTTTAGTTATAATTAACTTTTTTTTGTGAAGACTGAAACAAAACAAAAAAGACATTAAACTTTTCAGCTTTTTCTGTATCACCTATTTTCTGACCTCCCTTGTTAAGTACTACATTACATCTTCTTTCAAGCATAGCGTATTATTTGAAACATAGTATTGTTTAACTCTAGCAAACCACTCATTTTAATGGTGCCATGTGGTTATGCACTCAGACTAAAATAATATTCATCTTGTTTCAATGACATTACTTCACAATCTAGTTCTAGACCATACCTCAATTTCTTCCAACTGTGTGATTGCATTCCACTTAAAATTAGTTCAATTGTGACTTTTTTCTTTTATGCTAAGAAGTGGAATTATTCTACATTGGTAAATATTAATAGAAAATAATTCACTAAACATACGCAGCTTATTTTCCAAACACTAAATTGTATAGCTAAAGCATCCTATCATCTTCCTAAACAAAATCATAAAAATTTGTTAAAAAGGCACTAAAGAAGTAGTTGCATACTCAGAGTGTGACTGTAATCAAGCCAGAAAAACAGTAATACTTACCATCCTAGCAAAACAGAACATCATTCATTGGTAACCTGTAGGAAAAAGGGGAATAAAAGGTGAAATCAAATCAGTGGAGAGGAGAATAAAACTGCACTATGTTATGCAGGCACAGTTCTACAAACTGGTGGGCAACTTTGTACAACATTTTGTCTTTTAAAAACATTGGTTGCTTGCACTGTTAATTTATAACTATGCTTACTGAACTGGGGATGATTTTTCATGCACTGGAATGTTTGAGGAAGTACACCGCTCATACATAGCAAATTTCAACCGGCAAGCGTAACCTTGGTTAAATGCACTTTAGAGGACATTTTAGATTCCTATTGGGTTTTCATTTCTTTTCTGGGCCGCGTCCTGGGAGGACAGAGAGTGTGGCCAACCTTGCATTCACATGGCATGGATGTCGTTTTCCCCCACCTTAGCAAGGCTTTCAACACAGTGTCCTACAGTAAGCTGGTACCCAAACCAAGGAGAAGCGTGGATTATGGAGCGGGTGAATAATTGGCTGAACCAAAAAGATAGTAGTCAACCATTCAAAGTCTGTTCCAGGTGGCATTTCAGAGCATGCTAGGGTGACATCTTCATCAGGGACCTGGGTGGTAGGAGAGCCTACCTGTCCAGGAAGTCTGTGGATGTTACTAAATTGGAGGGGAGGGAGGGACTGATACGCTGAGAGTACATCTCCCATTTTGGAGGACTTTGCCAGACTGGAGGAATGGGCTAGCAGGAGCTTTGTGAACAAAGGCAAATACAAAATCCTGCATCTGGTGAGGAACAAGTTGGTTGTAGGAGGAAGTGAACAACCCCATGCAGCAGTACAGGCTGGGTAGCACCTCTGCAGAGAAGGACCTGAGGTCTGGTTCACTTCAGAATGAATGTGGGTCAGTTCACCCTTGCAGTGATGAAGGATAACCTCATATACAGTTACATTAATTACAGCACAGCCAGAAGGTCCAGGGAAGTTATTATTACCCTCTGTTGGGCACTAGCGAGGCTGCATCTGGAACATATTTTCCATTTTTGAGCCCTCCCAGTAGAAAAGAGTTGTCAAGCAAACAGAATAAACCCAACGGAGGACAATCAGGATCGTTGAGAGCGTTTCTTGATTTCTGGGAAAGACATATGACATACGAGAGGAGGCTACAGGGCTTGTTTAATCTGAAGAGTAGGCTAAGGGGTGTCTATTTACCTTCTCCAGCTATTTAAGTGGGGTTTAGAGACAGCTCAGATTTGCATGGTGAAAGGAAACGAGGCAACAAGCAGGGAAATTTTAACTAGCTGTAAGTAAAAACATTTTTTATCGTAAAGGTGGTCAAACACTTTAACTACTTTTTGTCTGATTCTGTCATCCTAATTACTTATGCATTACTTTAGCATTGAATGAAAAAAAAACCCTCTTCAAACTACAGCTGTGTTCTGACTACTTATTCAGGGCAAGCTCTTTTCCTCTAAAACTATTACACAGTACTCCTGCCATTATTTAAAGGTGACCAATTACAGCAGATGTTTCTTAAAGCCAAACAGAATTAGATTAAAATAGCAGTTTAAATGACATACTGTCATTTTGTACTTTCTCTGTATCACATTTATATTGTTACCCTTTCAGACCTTTTAATGTAAATCTCCTATATAAGCAACACATTTACAGTAATTCTTTTTACAGCAATTACATTAGAAAAAATACTATAAATGTATAAAATGATTTTTCCTTGGTAATGCATGGTGATCTAATACACTCTTTCACGTCAGTAGGATATAACTTAAACTTTTTAGTTAAAACAAGGAGATAACATTGAAGCTGGCCAAAAGTATTGCCCAAATACCTATTCCAAGTATAAATTTCCCATTGTACAAATAAAGTATTACAAATTTAAAAGTTTAAAGGATTGTTAAAGTTTCAGTTAAATTAACTGTTATGATGATATGGAGAGAGCCTAGGGCTGCAGTCCTTGGACTGGTCAAAATAAACAAGGGATGATGAGACTATCCTTTAAAGAGGTACTGTTCATTTTTTTCCAAAATAATTTGGAAGATCACAGGTCAAATCAGAACAGTTCTCATTTTGGAGGTAAGCAACATCAAAGGATTTTTCCAATTTGCATTATCTGAGAGCGTTTTTTATATGTATCACTGCTGCTCTTTGCCTTATTATTTGCTGCCTTGTTCTCTATGCTTAGTCCCAGTCTATGCAGCTTTTATGAATTGCCTAATACACCATAGTTCATTAGATAATTCATAAACTCTGCAAACCAGCAGTGCTGCAAAGATCACTGACCCTGCATCCCAGGTGTGGGAACAGAAGAGATGCTGACTGTGTCACAGTGTAACACATGCGTGCTCTGCAGCCTGGCTAGCGACTGAGCTGGCAGCCCCCCCCTGCCGTACTTCTGCATACCAGCTCTCCACTCTCCTGGAGGGTGGGGCTGTCATTTCATGCAAGACTGAAAGCAAAAAGTGAATATTGCATCCACGATGTGACAGGTGGAGAGACCATGTTTGTGTCTCAAAGGAAAGCACAAGGATGAAAGCAGTCTTTTGCTCCAAGGCATCTGCATTCAGGGAAGGACCTGTCCCAGCACCAAATGGAAGAAGGTGCTTGGACAAAGGAGCTGACTTTTGAGTAGGAGCAGCTTCCGATACAGTTCCCTCTAGTTTCATTGGGTATCTACCATACTCCTGTTCTTGCTTTGACAGAGATCTTTTTTACAAGTTGGAAAGGTATTGAATGGTACACGAGAGCTGGATCATTACAGAATGCCTAACAACTATGAGCAGTCTTGCCCAGGCTGTCAGGATAACCTGGAGGAGAAGGCAGGCTGCATCCTACCCTCGCACCTTCCCACCAGAGACAGGGAAGGGCAGGCCTTTGCTGTGGGCACAGCCCATGCTCATCCATCCCCTCTTCACGGTGATCACGGTGTCAAGCAACTTTGTGGGGGGATTTTGTACACTCTGGGATTTTCTTTATAAATCCAGGGTACAATGACAGTTTTTTTTTACCTGGAAGAATGTCACTCTGCTCTGATAATGTCATCTGGGTTGAAGCTTTGGTCTATCATAAAACGCCTTACATAAATTCTTTAGTAGAAGGACTCTTTCATACAATGGGTACATTTTCTTCTTACATGTAGAATCTATGAATGTTCAGTACTAATGTGGACCTCTGACCAGGAACACTCCTTAAGTAAATAAAGATTAAGAGCAACGTATAACAGAACTTTGGACCTTACTGAGATTTTCATAGAATTCCAAATTTCAAGAATTTATTGGTATCAAAGTTGTTTAAAGTGGAGCAGGGCAGATTAATTCTTCCCCCCTGCAAAAAAAAGGAGCTTCTTGTACTAAAACTTTGACAAATTTGCACGGAAGACAGTAGATGAAATCCTGTCACCACTGAAGTCAATGGATTCAGCTTTTTCTCATGGGGTCTTTTTATGAATGCTGACCTTACAGATGCTATTATTATCTCAAGTAATTATTGCAGATCTTTCAGGAATAACAAATAGATAAGACAGAGTAACAACTGCAATTATATGAACCTAAAGTAACTGTATAATAAATAGACTTGGGATTTTGCATGTCATACATGAGTAAGGGTAATGAGTATATACTTTTAGCACCTGCATGCAATGTCTTTTTGTGACTATACAGGTACATATGCCCCATGTTCTCTCTGAAGATTCTGACTCGGTACAATTCTGAGAATAATTATGACATCATTCACATATCATAACCTGGGAAAACACTAGGTTTACTTGAAAGGAAGACAGTAGGTATCGGAAATTACTGGTATATCTCTTGGTAAGGTTTTAAAGGAGTATCCTTCAGACCTCCTCTAACTAAAAAGCACTGATTGTAGAGAAGGATTTCACAAGGAGAATGTCACTTATTTGTTTTCTTGCTTTCACAGGGAAGTGGCAAATCTGATTTGCTTCATGCTGTTACAGAGTGAAGCTAAAGTTGCATGAAAAATAGAATGCTGTTCTTCTGAATACAAAGGTAACTCCTTTTTTTTCCCAGTTAGTACTTTGCTCTAAGGAAAACAATCACAGAATCATAGAATCATTAATGTTGGAAAAGACTTTTAAGATCACCAAGTCCAACCGTCAACTCAACACCACCATACAAATCATGAAGCAGAAACTAGCAGCACCTTCCCTTCTTCCTCGCTCTCACTGCTTCTTAAAGGTCAAGGATGTGCTTACGTTTCACAGAGCATCTACCCACCCTTTTTTTTGGGGGGGGGGAATTACATAAATAATACTGACTTCCTCTCACTGTGTATTTCGCTCTGAGGGAGGAACATTGCAGGAGAAGAATCACAGAATCACAGAATGTTAGGGTTTGGAAGGGACCTCTGTGGATCATCTAGTTCAACCCCCCTGCCAAAGCAGGGTCACCTACAGCAGGCTGCACAGGACCTTGTCCAGGCCAGTCTTGAATATCTCCAGAGAAGGAGAATCCATAACCTCTCTGAGCAGCCTGTTCCAGTGCTCTGTCACCCTCAGAGGGAAGAAGTTCTGCCTCATGTTCAAGTGGAACTTCCTATGCTTCAGTATGTGCCGGTTGCCCCTTGTCCCGTCGTTGGGCACCACTGAAAAGAGTCTGGCCCCATCCTCTTCACACCCACCCTTAAGATATATCTAGGCATTTATAAGGTCCCCTCTCAGCCTTCTCTTCTTCAGGCTGAACAAGCCCAGCTGCCTCAGCCTCTCCTTGTAGGAGAGATGCTCCTGTCCCCTCATCATCTTTGTAGTCCTCTGCTGGACTCTCTCCAGTAGCTCCTCATCTTTCTTGAACTGGGGAGCCCAGAACTGGATGCAGTACTCCAGATGGGGCCTCACTAGGGCAGACTAGAGGGGGAGGAGAAACTCCCTTGACCTGCTGGCCACACTCTTCTTCATGCACCCCAGGATCCCACTGGCCTTCTTGGCAACCAGGGCACACTGCTGGCTCATGGTTAACGTCATCCACCAATAATAATTGATGAAGAGGTTGAACAAGACTGGGCCAAGTACTGACCCCTGAGGGACACCACTAGTTACAGGCCTCCAGCTAGACTCAGCACTGCTGACGAAGTTAAGTACGATCCTATATATAATTTTAGACAAAGAGCATTTTGGTGAGGACAGAGAGTGCGGGACAGAGTTCTAAGGTACTTATTACAGCAGTAAGAATAATGTTGGGCTTAAAACCTGACAGAATTTTTCCTAGTCAGTTCAGCATCGAAACAGAACTTCACTAATAAAAAGGATATTTTAAATTAGGTGGAGACTTGTGGGTTATGTAAACTCATAAAGTGTAATTTCAGCATAAACTATTCTTAGAGTCAAGATAGGTTCATCAGTAACACAGGTGTCTGAAAGATGTTGTGATTTTAGAAATCATCAACCAAGGCCTACATTGTTTTCTTCACTGCACTGAAAAGGGAACGCAGTACAACACACAGTTTTTAAGAACCAACCACATAAAAGATAAAAAGGTAAAAATTTGGTGACTCTTCAGAGACAGGTCAACAATAACATATCTCAAAGAAGCCATCACCCTCAGGGCAGGTCAGAAGAGTGCCTCAAATGTTCTGAGCTGCTCCTTGCTCTATGTTACTCTCCTGTCTGTCTCCAAGATAGCATAAATATTGATCTCCTTCTGGGTATCAGTGCTGTATACTTCTGTCTCCAACAAAAGATCTCAAGGGAAACAGATGCTTTTGTTCAGTCCTTCTTGACAGAGAATGAGCAAAGGGGGTCATCTCTAGATGCATATGTGTCTTCTCTGCCACCCCCTAAACATGGAAAGACATTGCTCGATCTCAGCATGGCCAGCATGGTGTCCCCTGGTCACCTCCTTCTGCTAAAAATGAGATTAAAAGTTGAGGGAAAAAATTAGTACAAGTACATTGAAAAATTCATTGGAGAAGACTTTCTTTGATTTGTCATAGAAAAAACAGAAAATGTGTCATTTCTTGATGTTGTTTCCTGACCAGCTCATGGTGAGCCTGACACAGTTCTTCCTGCTGTATCTACGTACGGGCTGGAGTCCACCTGTATATTCAGTCAGTTACAAAATACAAATTAGTGACAGGCCCCAGGGAACCAGCACAAATACTCAGCTTGCTCAGCTGTACCAAACGGTACCTGACACTATTTTTTTTATTTTAAAGCTCACTATTTGCCTCCAGCTCACATTATTGTAAGTGGTGAATGACCATCACCCAATAAGATGTTAATCAAGGGAAGTACAAATAGTACTGATAACAGCCCAGATAAATCCTCTTCTTTCCAATTGATTGTCTTTGGTCTTTATAAATATGACAATTTCATCAGAGATCTTTATTCTACAGGTAATTATACAAATATTCCAACTGTTGGACTACATTTTAGCTTTTTATAAATTGGCTGACAGAAATTCTGTTCAAACTGTTTGTTTAATATACAAGACAACTTTTAGAAGACAGTGCTATATATTTTATCTGCTTTGGAACAGACCAAGTTAGCCTCTAACCAAAGGAATTTCACACTTTTGTTGTTATTGTCAATTCAGAACACGCTACAATCTCATATTTTCAAAAATATCTGAGTCACGGTAGTCGGACTTTAATATGTCAGTAAGAGATGCTTCACTTTCTGAACTGATATTAATAATGTATCAAATTATGAGTCTTGTTTCTTGAAAGAGTTCTCTTTGAGAAGATCTGTCTTTCCATTAGGTCTGCAAATCTTTCTCTCAATGTGTAAACTGTAAGGAAGAAGACAAGATATGGGGATCTAGCTGTTTGCTTTCTTCTATCTTATTTTCAAATACAGGAAAATCAGCTGAATGACCAGAGGCTGCATATATGTACACACATGCATACATAAACATATTTATACACACACACAAATACACATATATACATTTATGTATATATATATACACGTTTTGGAGTGCCTGATGTAGTGCAAATCTCAACAACAATTTTATCCTCAGAACTATTCAATCCCTCTCACCACCCTCTAATGAAATACCTTTATTTCAATAATATTTCAGAAACTTTACAGATGAGATGGAAAAAAACAACCTATCTAAGAAGCTCCGCAAGGTATTTGTTGTCTAACTTCATTTTGCAAAGGCACCTTGGAGCTTCCTTTGGATAGATCCACAGCACAAACCTTAACAACTTCTTTCCAGAGAACCAAGAAGTGGCTCCTGGGAGGCAGAGGAAAGGGGCTTGATAGTGTAGAAACAAACCGAAAGGTCAAAGGCAAGGAAAAAGTGAGGAGGCGGGAAGGCTGTGACAAAGATTCAAACAAAAAGAGATCTGAAGTAGCTCAAAGTCCCCGACCCTGCACACAAAGAGGCCGGGGATGTTTCTCATCAAGTGAGTGGCCTATATTTTTTTTTTTCCTTTCTTCCTTTTTCTGTCCTAACCTTTTTTTTCCAATGGAAACTGAGATAAACTGTGAGGACATATTGACAGACTGTCAACAAACTCAGAATTCAGGCAAACCCTCTGCTTCCAACATGTGAAGGGCTTGACCTCAAGACTCCCTCAATATTTTTTACGACTACAAGAAAGTCAATCATTTGGCAGCAATTATTGGCAAACATCCATTTCATTTATTTAAATGCTCATTTTGCTGCTTTTAGCAAGACTAGAAACTAAATTTAAAATAGTAAATTAAAACCAAACTGCGTTACGAATATGTAATTATCATTCTTACCTATATCGTTAAACTCATCAAAAAACTGTGAAATAATTGTGAGCATGCACCTGGTAATCAAAAGAGGTCTCAGTAGTAAAAAAATCATTCTTGTGTCATAAATGTACTCATACCGCTATTATTGGTAGTAAGTTATGCTTTCTTATGTGACTTTCTAAAATAATATTCAAAATGTCTTTTAATTAAATACGTTCTATTACCTTCCAAAGCCTACAGTAAAGAATATGGTAGTTAATTAAACTACATATGTTTATTTCAACATTAAGGCTATAATTCAACTTCTTGTTCATGACCTTGTTGGAAACAAGACTTGCCTGTGCCAGCAGAACCTTTTTAATTTTTATATGCTCTGTCTGAAGAGAAAATTGATGATGTGTAGCAGATAGTTTCAGCTCTCACTGAATGAATTATCTAGGATGATAACCACTGTGTTCCTAGAGTTTAGATATGTAAAGGTAGTAGGGAATTGGCCACTGAATTTAGACTTCAAGATTTGTATTCTTTAAAGTCAAATAAAATCAGCACTGAATATTGATATGGGCAAACTTGCACTAGGTGTTGTTATATGTTTTCTTCACAGTCGTTTATGAAATTCTCAATAACTAATTATCCTAAGTGCTTCTGGTAGTTGTGGTATCTGGGATTTAAAACAGAAACTATACCAGTGACTGCAAATTGTGGAATGCATGATTTAAATGGGGCTAACTGCATAATTTAACAAATCCCACTTGCTAAAATCACAACAGCACGTTTCAGGAACCTGAAGTGTAAATGTTAGTGTTACTCCAAATTCACTCAAGCAAGACAGTCTGCAAAACAACTCTGTTATTTCTTCTTCATTAATCATTAGGAATAATTAATGCTTATCTAGTCCATGCACTGGGCAAAAGCAGACTTGGGAGCTCAGCACATTTTTGCTCTTCAACTCTAGACAAGCTACATAAATAAAAGATAAAGGTAGCATGCAAATGCTAAACCAATTAAATGTCAGCCGATTACCTCCTTAGAGTTGAGTGTCTCATTTTCTGGAATAGGCACTATGGGATGACTGGGCTGCCGAGCCAAGATGTCACAAGTTGGAGAGAGCATAAGGTTAAAAACAGGAAAAAAAAAATCCATTATCAGTTCAATGTCTATATAAAATATCACTACAGTTTAATAATGAAAGCCAATACCCTCCCTCATGAAAAGGATAGCAAGGCAATGAGATCCCGCTTGAACTCAACAGGCTCCCTGTTGAACAGGCTCTCTCTCACTACTCCTTGCCTGTATGAAAATCTGTTTCAAGGTATGGCCTTTTTTCTGTTATATTCCCATAACTAAAAGGGCGAGGAAAGGATAAACCACTTTCCAATCTGAAAGAGGCATCTCAAGTAAAAATCACAGCAAGGGCACCTGCCTTATAGTACATTTGGTATGAGATAATGCACATAAAGTTATTTAAAACTACAACCATATTTCTGTCACTTTGAATATCTGTCTTCTTAAACCTCCTCCAAAAGAGCTCTCCTTTATCTTAAATTTCATAGACATAAATCATACAAATATTTAACTAAAAAATGCTGTATAACAATAATCAGTATGTGCAGAAAGGAGTTTTAGTCCTCAGTAATTTTCCAGTGTTTTGAGTATTATATGACTTGCATCTGAGTAATGAAGTTTGATGAATGTGACTTAAGTGAAGAACCACACCAATTTCAAGAAGATTTTAATTACCATACAGGTAAATAGATAAGCCCGAGCTTATAAAGGCAATGCTAAGATCATAAACTTGTAAGTTTTTCCTATACAGTGACATGGAGTCATTGTCTTTAGAGCAAAGGTTGCTGAAAGTCTTGGGGTTTGGGTATTTTAGAATTGTATCAAAAGAAGGTTGGAAGAAGCCTGCTGTTTTCAACGTATCAAAGGCACTACTTTATTTTGGTATTTAGATAAAAAAGAAAAATAACAAATGATGTGCTCATTAAAAAAATATTGCTCTTGCCCTAAGAAAATGAATTTTGAAACTGCGGTTTTTGAGAGGCAAAACTGATCTGCTAAACTGGCCCTACATACAAAGAAGGATACTGAAGTGGGATATACTCTAATTTTCTGCAGTTACCTTATGGATTTGCTATGTATTTTTCTCTCCCTTTGTAAATTTGCCCTGATTCATTTTCAGGGAAGCAGGAACCAACTCTAGCAACAACTGCAGCAGTTACAGAAGCTTTAAACCATTTAACTTTTCTTTTTCCCCAAAAATGAAAAGGTAAGTGAATAACTTCAGGCAATAAGTTTATTTATTCAGTAAATTTAGACTAGGGATTAATTTTGGGCAAAGGAAGGGTAAGGAAGGGCGAAGGAGCCTAGGTCCTCTCAGCAGCAACATCCCTCCCTCTGCCGCCCTCTGGGCTCCTGATTTCAGCCAGCACAGCCGCCGAGGCAGCCCCCAGACCTTACGCCACCCTGCTGCTGCAGCACAGCTCTTCACAACAGACACAGGAGGTGTTCAATGGCGCACATGGGAGACTGAAGTCCCATTTCCAAACCCATCATCCTGCAGCTACCAAGGGTGGGCAATCTTCAGTGATACACAGGCGCAATATTCTTGTGGTATCTTGGCAAGCTTATTTCGTTGAAATGAGCCTATTATTAACAGGACAGATAGCCTGCCTGATTAAATTCAGCTTTGTACCCAAGTCGTAGTACAATTTACGGCCCTAAGCACAGGGGAAAGATCCTCACAGAGTATGGTCATCTCTCTGCAAAGATCAGCTATCAACATCAGAGTACCAGACAGTCAACTTAAAAGTACCAAAATGCAAAGTAGGCAGAATGAGGTGGGATTAACCTTCCCTCACTAGACATTGTGTGACTATTATCCCTCCGAGTTATACAGGAATGTGCCCATGTGCCACAAGACCTGAAGTGCGAATGCAACTTGGACTATGTACTTTTTACAGGTGTATTGTCTTAGTGAGACCTCATTAATCTCTGACACTGGCAGTCTTTCCTCTCCAAGCACCTGGCAAAAAACCCTGTTTTCTTCAACAAATACGAAAGAATTTTGTCTGTTGATGGTGGAAGACGGCAATATTGCTTTTATACTTTCTATTCTTGTTTGCTTTGCCTGTTACAAAATTCTGCATAACTCCTACAAGGTTAATTAATAATTCTTAACTTTTCCAGACATCACTCAGTTTTCTCGTAATGTGACATTTTCTTTAATATTTCTAAGAACAGTGGAAAAGCAAACTAGACTATCTGCATTTGTGGCTGCAAAAATTGTACTGAGGAGAGCAGGATATCCTGATGATACATATGTATTTGTGCAAGTAAGTTCAAAGGGAAATTAGATACCTGGCTTAAATAACCTTTTACAGACTCAGTCAAGGCTTAGAAAAGAGGTGGTTATATAATATTTTAGTTAGACCTTTGTTCATTTAGCTCTGTAGAGTAATTAGCAAGACATATTTGCCTTTGAAAGGTCAGTTTATCTTTATTGCGCTATGAATCACAGCTGCCTCTGATCTAATATAAAGCTTTCTTGTGTTGTCAATGTAAGACCTTTTTCATAAATCTAAGTCCCTCTCTAGAGGGTCTGCAACCTTTGCTAATTGAGACACAGGTTTAAAACTCTTTGGAACCAGAGAGACGTAATGTACATAAGAAATAAGAATGTTTCAACTACAGTAATCAAAGAACATTCACATATACACTGTTCTTTCAAACTACTCCATTAAGTCTTTAATCCATTTTGAAAAGAAATTAGGTACTCCAGACTCTTATGAAACAGAGTCATTCCTTCACAGTAGGAAAAATTACTAATTTCTCAAAGACTAAAAATGTTTATCCATACATGCATAACAACTAAACATTTTTTATAAAGCGATTTTCTAGGTAACCACTTTTTCTGAGTACAAGAACATGAAATCTAGGGTACCAATAGATGGTAAGATACCCACAGCAGCAGAACAAGGACTATCTTCAACTAAGGGGAGAGAAAGTATATAATGTAAAGGGACAATTTATAGTAATTATGTCTACAGTCTTTCTGAAAAGACACAGTATAAAATCCATTGCAAAGATTCAGTCAGTTAAGCACCCAATGGTTTTACACCTTTCACCTCTCTATAAAGGGAAATGTAAAGTAGAAACGGTGGTCACAGCAAAGACTTATAATGTGCATTCAGCCATGTATGCAACAGAACATCATGACTGACTTGTATATCATTATTATACACTACTGTAACCTGTGCATTTTTAACTTGAAGATTTCAAAACTCTCCAGATACTGCGAAGTACCTGCACAAGAGGGGCAACTTGCATTCGGACATGGTTCCCTGACAGGTTCTTACAGAACATAGGCCTGGAGGGCTCCAGAGCAGAGTGAGACTGAAAAGATTTGTGTATGAATACCAGAGGCTGGAGGAGTTACAGGGCTTTGCACTAGGGATTCCTTGTCTCTAAATGGAGCTGGAGGGAGGGAGATGCAGGCAAGCCCAGCAGTGTGTCGATGTTCCTTGGGCTGCCTTTTTTCAGGCCAAATTCAACTTCTCATGCAGGGCTAGTCTATGACGGAATTGGCTGGGGATTTTCTGTCAAAATGATTTTTCCACGAAAAATACTAGTAACAGAAAAATGAAGCTTTCTGCAAAAACATATTGATCTCTCTTGCAAACTCTTACTAGTCATTGAGAAAATTAAAATTAAGTGATTAATCATAAGAAATCCCACCCATAACTGGAATACTGTGTTTTTCTGATCTAGATGTTTCATTTTGGATCACTTCCATAAAATATTAAAATGTATTTCACTATTCATGTACTTTGTGGCAATCATGATAAGAGCCTCTGTTTTCTGCTGTGGGCTGATCAAGCTCTGCAGTTCCTTACAGGGCTAATTTTGCTATAGGTGATTACAGGAGCCGGTGGCCAGCAAGCACACTAGGCCCGTAATGAAGACTTGAGGCATGAGAACCACAACCTACACACCCACAGAGTAAGGCAACAGAGAAGACAAACATCTTCTAATCACATGGATTACAACTATCTGCTTTGAGTTAGTTCATACAACCCAAATGATGCATATTGATTTCTGGAGTATTTAAACGTTTTCAAATTTTCATCTGTATTGGAAAGAAAATTTCAGCATTTCCAACATCACCAGTGTTTGGAATTTCCCTCAGCATATTGACTGTGAACTATTTGCGGACTCACGGAAACCAACTCCTTGCTTAGAAGAGATGATGTTTCCCTGCCCCAGGAAGGGGCTCATTGCTCATTGACTGATAAGAGCTGAAGAACTTTAACTGCTTTCCAGGTTTGAGTGTGAAATGAAACAGATTTAATTTTAAGAGCTCACCTTCCCCCCACGTACTTTTCTTCTCAGATTAGCTGCAAAACTGAATAAGCCCTGTTTTCTGAGTAAACTTCTCCTGCAAGAGATCTTTGACCCTAGCTACTTTAAATCTACACCACAAACTTTGACTAAATTATCAACAGTACGCATGCGTAACTGCCACCTAGTATTTTAAAATTTGTATTAAGATAATATTCTGCCTATTATATAACTACTAATAGGATAGTCACTGTTTAATTAAGAAAAAGAGAAATTTAGTACTATAATTTACAGTTTATCATGTATGACTTCTTCATCAAAGGTCAGAACATTTTGCCAAAAAGAAAAAAATCTGCTAACACCTAGAAGTTTGTAATACCTCTGTAACATAGGTAAATACTGGCTTCTTTAATTCAAGCTCTAAGTAAATACTTGGAATTTCACCAGAACTAATTATATTTTATACATTTTCTAACATAACTGGAAGTGGAGTTAATTAAGGTCATATTTCGTAGCACACATTATATCAATACCTGCAATAAAAGTAAAGTGAATTCTAATTGTGCCAATTCGTTCCTTAAAATGTAGAGTTTCCAAAGGTTCATCAGTTCACTGTTTACTTTTCCTTGATACCTGGGAAGAGTTTTCTGCAATCTAAAAAACAGCAGGAAATTGTCTAGAAACATATGTGTTCAGTGAGGTGTAAGATACAAATTGTCTATAGCTCTGGATGT